GAAATTCTCTTACACGCATTCTTGTACTCAAATCATTGACCATATAATGGATGCTTAAAATACACGAATGCAGATAATTGTCTGTTTTACATTTTAACTTTAGGGTTTATTGTCAGTTTCTCATAATTTTTAAGCACCGTGATTTTCCTTTTAATCCAGTTATAGTAACATTTTGCTACTTGTGAGCTGCAGATTCACTGTATATGTGTGTGACTGACATATAATACCAATGTACATAGTATACCTTTGACTAAAGTTTACATGCTCGAACATTTATGTGTGTCCTTGGCGTGTCTATGTCATGTTTCAGGTAAAGGGATTTGTCACTAAAATGGAGGAATGTATGGGCGCTTGTGATTGCATAATTACTAAGGTTTGTCAGTTGCTTTCTAGCTGTCTACTTCAATAAACCAAATAGAAAAGGGAGGATAAGATGCCTCCTTCGCCTCAAAGTGAAAAAAGAAAAAAGAGTACTATAGTTATTCTGGTTTTCTGTAGGCTGGTCCGGGGACTATTGCAGAACCCGTGATTCGAGGACTGCCTATAATTCTTAATGATTACATTGCTGGACAGGTATATCGAGCATTCAGTACATTATTTTGTTCTTTCTTTAGGAGTTCCTTTTTCCTTCGTCTTGCGCCCATTCAGAATACCTCTTCTATGAGGTTCATCACTGCTGATTGTTGTTTTCTTAATTAGATAATATTCCTGTCAAATTTGCCATTTGAAATGTTAATTCTCATTTGCTCCTGCAACCTCTTTAAAAGTTGTACAAATATAGAGGCACTTTATATTATGATAGCAGAAGGGGAGCCTTGGCGTAACTGGTAAAGTTGCCTCCACGTGACCAGGATGTCACGGGTTTGAGCCGTGGAAACAACCTCTTACAAAAATGTAGGGTAAGATTGCGTACGATAGACCCTTGTTGTCCGGCCCTTCCCCGGACCCCGCTCATAGCGGGAGCTTAGTGTACCGGGTTGTCCTTTTTTTTATATTATGATCGCTAATTTCTCTTAGTATCCCATTTCTTCGCAATTATCTTTTTTTTAAATCTTGGAAACGTTACCCTACTACACGCCTGCTTGTTGTCTGGCTTGAGTTTTCTTCTTAAATGTGACTCTCAAACTAATGATTATAACTTATAATTGGTTTGCTGGTTTTATTTGGCTGATGGCATCCTTCTTAACGTTGCATCATCCTAATAATTAAGTTTGTAAATCTCTGTTAAACTTTTCACAACTGCGCACTAACATAATTTGACTAAACCAACATCACCTCTTTTATCTAGGTTCATTTGTTTTGTCATTGCAGATGTTTCCTATTATGCTCAACTCCGGAGTCTTTTCAACCTATTCTAATTTCTTATCGTCCATACGTTTGTTTTATCTACTGCAGGAAGCTGGAAATGTGCCATATGTTATCGAGAACGGATGTGGGAAATTCTCAAAGTCGCCTAAAAAGATAGCCAATATAGTAGCTCAGTGGTTTGGTCCAAGACAAGATGAACTCAGAATCATGTCTCAAAATGCTCTAAGATTAGCAAGGCCGGATGCTGTATTTAAGATAGTCCATGACATGCATGAATTGGTCAGGCAAAGAAATTTTGAGCCCCAATGTTGTCCTGCTTAAATTAATTACATCAACTGAGCAGGTATCCGGCAGAATAGTCGAGGTGAGCACAAGCTGGCTTGGAAACCGTTACAAAAATAATAATTGCACCAGCTCAATTTTGGCTCGAATTCTTAGTAGAATGTACTATTGCCTTGCTTTTCCTCTTTTTTTTTTTTTTTTACTTTCTTATTCTCTGTTATTTCTGTTCATTTACCTTAAGTGTATTGAATCCAAGATAAACAAAATCTTGTGGTCAAATTCATTTTTAGATAATATATTTTTCCTGTCTCACGGGGATGTATCAAACCTTTTTCTTTTCTTTTCCTATTTCCTGCAAACTTGAATGTTGACAATAAAGAAACTCCCTGGAGTTTAAGGCAAAACTTAAATTAAACTTTTAAAGCAAATAACAGTTGGCAAAGTATGATATACTCCACTTTTAAGTCTGTAAACAGTAGAGGTGTACAAAGGTTGGGTTTATACGGGTTTACAATTACCAAATCAAACCAATTGTATTGGATTTTTAAATCTATAAACCAAACCAACCAACAAAAATCGGGTTTTTTTCAATCTTGGGATTTTTGATTTTTTCGGGTTTTTTTAGTAAAATCTTCATAATACAAAACATATAACTTGTGCTCCAAATATTTCTTTGGTCTTAGTAGGATACAACAATATAAGCTATTACCCAAGAAAATAATGCAAAACAATATGAGATGCGTCATGACTTTGTACTATAATATTCAATAATAAAGATAATGAAATCGCATAAAAACAAATATTGCTAATTAATAAGCCATGATGAAAATGAACATAATCTAAAAGTACTAAGTATGATACAACTATATAAGGTGTTACCCAAGAAAATAACATAAAATAATGTGAGATGAGTCGTGATATTGTAATAAAATATTCAACAATAAATATAATAAAACCTCATAAATCCATAATGAAAAATCTAAAAGTACTAAGTCATGCTAAAGTAAGTACAACTAATAAGTACTCAGTATTAATCACATGACTAAACAATAAAAAAACAAGTTATATCCCGAAGGATCGCCAGTTGGTTTGGAGGGCAGTTATACATACAGATGACCTGGGATCGATCCTCCCTCAATGCCTTCTGGGTTGAGCTTGTCGCACAGGGGCTTGCCTAGTGCGGTTTACATCCCCTGCGTGGTTTGCAAACTATTACACAGTGGGGGATTTACCCAGTGCGCACAGAGTGCTCACCCGAAGGACAGACGTTGTGGCAAAGGCTGTAGCGGTTGCGGATTTTTTTGGGGTTCAAAAAAAAAAAGTTATGCATTTTCACTATCTAAATCAATACAAAAATAAAAAAATAAATATTCAACACTATTGCTATTCTTAGTATTCCATTGAATTATTGATTTAGTTTTGGTTTGGGCTTTATTTGAGTTACTAACATATATGGGCTATAAAACATATTGGACAATTCAAAAATTTCAAGTTAAAGCTTGAAATAATACGTTAAAAAAGAGAACTATGAAAAGTTCAAGAAATATCTATACATTGCATTACAATAAATATGTTTGTGTATAAGATAATTTTAAAATTTGTATACATGTAATGTCGGTTTAGTTTCGGTTTGACTTTTTAAAGTTAAAATCAAACTAAACTAATTATAATTGGGTTTATTTTTCCAATATCAAATCAAACCATAATTAATTTTTTTTCGGTTTGACTCAGATTGTTAGTTTGATATAGTTTGTTGGTTTCCTTTGTATACTCATAGTGAATATTATGCTGAAGAACAAGGTATTTTAGGAAAATCATATTGAGTACAAAAATTGATAAAATCACATTCTAACAGAGGCTGCATGAAGCTTTTATCAATTTGACAAAACATCTAAGCAGCAAGATTTTTGATACATATCACTTGGTATCAAATTAAAACAAAAAAAAAACATATTCATTTGGTCTATCACTTACTATTATTATGATACATATCTTTTTGTATACTAACCTCAGTCACTATAAAACAGCACTAAATAAGTTCACTTACATGTTACCAAACCAGCCACTGCCATTCAAATAATCCCTTAAATTTGATGGTAAGTTTATTTTCATCCCTATTGTATTATTTTGCAATATATGGTTCTATAAGTTTGCAAAAATAAGCACTTTTGGTCCAACCGATGGAACATCCAAAACGAGCTATTAAAAAGGATGGAGATGTCATATTCTTTTCATGTGATTAGAGTAAAAATGGTCCCGAAAAGAACTTGTTCTCCAATTTCAGCGATACAAACAAATTAAAAAGTTCAGGCAACGTAATCACAAGAAATTTGATAAAATGTCTATTAGTAATAAAGTAACTCGCGATTGTGGTAAAAATAAATTTTTACATGAAAAATTGATCATGATTATTATTTAGCTTGGACATGTAGAAAACGTATCTTATTTCCATTAGTTTTAAATGATCCAATTGGAAGTTCTATTGGGTTGATGAAAATATTAAATTTTATAAACTTAAAAGATCGTATGTATTTAAGGTAATACAACCGGAATAAAGATAGGGTTTTCTTAAATTAAAGTCAATCAAACTCAGATTCTCCCCACCTGCCTTGACTGGGAATTTGGCATTGACCTTATATATTAAAATTCAAAAAGTGAATACATGAAGGAAGGAAACATAATGCCTTGCCTCCACACAATTTAAGGGGTTATTTGGTAGGAGGTATTATAAAAAATAATGCAAATATTAGCTTTGTGCATTACTAATCTCTTGTTTGGTACATTTTTTTAATCTATGTATTAGTTATACATTCTATTTGGTATTATCCTATGTATAACTAATACATAACAAACTATGGTATTAGCAATGCAAAGATTTTTAATAATTGTATGGTTAAAGACATAATTGCCCATCAAATCCCTCAAAGTGTACAAAGTTAAAGAATATGGAGGGTATTTTTGGAAACAAATCATTTTTTTAAAAGAAATTATGCAATGTTTTACTACACCAAACCAAACAATGAATAAGAAATAATCCCAGCATAACTAATCTCAACATTACTAATATACTCTATTCAGCACTATTATTATACCCCTACCAAACGATCCCTAAGTGAGAATTGGAACTAGTGTATCTATCCAAAAGTTAGAATTAGAACTAGTGTAATTTAACTAGATACACCTATATACAATTGATCCTAGTGTTAGAACTACAACTAGGTGCACAATGTATATATATAAAAAAAGCCCCCCCTCTTACATGGATTAAAATACATTAAAAAATTGTTATTGGAGCTAAAATAGACTTAACCCTAACTTAAGTGATAATTTTTTCTTTTCTGACAACCTAAGGGATCATTCTCGGTTTTAAAAACTCACAAAAAAACAGTTTTTCCACAATAGTTCGAGGACTAATTTGACAATTCCCTCCATTTCTCTCGCTACTCCTTCCCCTTTCCCTTTCTCCTGAAAATTCAAAAAAAGCCTCTCCTTTTCTGCAATTTCTGAGTAAAGAGCTAGAAATTGTGAAGGAGAAGAAAAATGAATCACCGTAATCTAAGTCAATATCACCATTTAGAGAATTCACAACATCAATCAGTAGACGGGCTTTTAACCCTTTTCACTAAAGCCAACCATGACTTGACAACAATCCAAAACAAGCTCGAAAGGGAATTTCAACAAGTCTACCCTGATAATGTCTGTAATTTAACTCTTTTCAGCTTCTCTTGGTTTTGATTTTGCTGTTTTTTCAATTTTTTGAATTCTATGCACCTAAAAAATAGTTACACATTAGGTTGCTTATTAGGTAATTTACAGGTAATATCTCGATAAACATTAATTAGAGTATATGACAAAAATGGTAACTAATCTGTTACCACATGTTAAAATTTACTCATACTGTAAAGTATTAATTACACTGTAAAAATGCTTTTGTTTTTGCTATTTTTATATTTTTTGAGTTTAAATTCTATGCAGTGCAGTGAAAAAAATAGTTACACATTAGTTCATTTATTAGGTACTAATTTATAGGTAAATGTGTTGATAAACATTAATTGATAATATGGTAAAAATGATAACTAACTTGTTAGCACATGTTAAAATTTAGCATAATTTACATTGCCAGTGTATATAACTTAAATACTTTTGTTTGGTTCCAGGCGAACCCCATGAAGCTAGTTTCCAGGATTAAGAAAGTTCAAGATGAAATGTCCACCTTGAAGGAGCAGTGCCGTGAGTTACTTGCAGCTAAACAGGTATTGCTTGATTTTAACTACTACGCCTCAACCAGTGGCGAAGACAGGAATTTCTCTAAAATGTTCCACTTTAATATATATCTATATAAAAAGTAATACTTTGTCTTATATATTTCGTATAATTTTCTATGTTCAGTCTAGTGGCGATGCTCAACCCCAAACTAGTTGGGGTCAATTATATGAATTATCTATACCCGTTCTGCTCTATTTAGGTCCATTTTATTTCAGTACTCATTAATTTGTGTTCCGAGACAGGTTGACATATGTGTATTCTAATTTGTGAGTATATTATTCTTTCTGCTTTGGGACCTTAATATTATTTTAAATTCTTGCATTTAGATAATATAAGTTCGGAAATATGGGTTAGGCACACTTCACGGGTTTGAACACTGCTATAGACAAAAGTATTTGAGTGGAGAAGGATAGAGGGACGATCTATGCACCATTGACCCGAGATTTTTTGGTTATCAAAGAAATACTGAATTGCTTGAAACACCAAGTCATGTCTGTGGGGAACAAGGCGCTGTCATAAGGATAATATGTAAAATTTTAGCTAGATGTCTTTTATGTTAGCGTACATTTGTATAGTTAATGCAGATCCAGGAAGGGGGAAGATATGTCAATCAATTACATTCAAGAGAAAGAGTTATATTTTGGTAGTGAAATAATTTGTGATAAATAACCAAAGAATGCGATATATTAGTGACTAAACAAACTCAGTGTAAAATTTCAAAGATCATGCTCACCGAGGAAAAGGAAAAATAGGAAGTTTCAAAACTGGTTCTGTTGAGACAATGTTACATTAATCCTTTGTTTGCCTATCTTGTCGTAGAGGCTTGACATAGGTATAGATACTTCATGTGCACATGGTCTTCACTTACGAGAAATTAGCTAAAGAACTGTATCTAAGCATACCGGATACTTATCAGATATATACCCATAAACGAGCCCATCTAACTTGGACTTTAGATTGCTAGTTGTTATTCTCTTTTGATGTAAGGAATTAGAATAACATAGGTTAGTGATGAGATGGAAAAGCGGAGAACTTTGTGATTTTGTTAATCAAATAAGAAAGACTGCATCTCCTATTTTCTTGCTTTAGTCCTCTTCTTTTCTTTTTCACCATTAGAGTGGATTTCTTTCTCTTTCTCCCCTGATTTTCAAAGTATCTAAAGCTTTTTCATGGTTCTTTAGTCGAGAAGGTTTACAGGCAACTTCTAGCCTGCTGAAGTCAACTACTCTGGACAAAATTTTCTGAGTTCTTGAGTTCCATGTGGAAACTGATATCTGCTTACAAATATGGTAAATAGTGAAGCTGATTGCTGCCCATTTCTCCTTCTAAATGATTCTCTTGCCTGCCAAAAGTCAAAAATTGTTTACGTTATTTCTTGGACGTCGGGGATAGTGTTTGGAAGCTATATAATGTCCAGTTCTCAATCTTGTTCAGGTGGTTGTGTATGATGAACTAGTTTTTGTCAGTAATACTCGAAGTTTCACTTCCATATTATTGTAGAGTCCATTGAAATTTGATCATTGTTGACAACAATGGAGGGCATTATACAAGGTTTCACTAAGCCAATAGGTACCATTGGTGCTGGACTTAAAGTTGATTTTGAACTTAGTAAGTTGTTTTATGATGTTTGTCTGCTCTCCCCTTTTGGAAAAGCAAAAGAAGAAAGAAATGGAAGATGTGTGGCATGTTGTTGGTACGAGAATGTGTAAGCTAAACTGCTCTGTTGTATAAATGCATGTGAATTAATTTTATCATTGTGGAAATGCCACTACTATGATTATGATATCTTAAGTTCTGTAATTACTATGTTTGTCCCTGAAACAACCTCTCTACCCTTTTCGGGGTAGGGGTAAGGTCTGCGTACACTCTACTCTCCCCAGACCCCACTAATGGGATTTTACTGGGTATGTTGTTGTTGTTGTAATTACTATGTTTACAGAATACTAGATCTATAAAGAATTGGACCATGTTGATGTCAAGTACAAAATGCCTTACGTTAATTATGTGACAATGAGAAAGTGTAAGGATATTCAGGGAGAAACAAATGCACAAATTTACTGGGGCAAACTGACTGAAGATTTCATATGATGCTAAAGTTTAGTCCTTCAAAAAAACAAAATGAAGGCTATGTTGAATATGAAGTAGAAATCTTACAGCTGAATCTCTAGCAAATGTCAAAGTTGATATTTATGCAGCTTAATTGTTCATAGCGAAAACCTTTGAATACTTGTACTGACTGCTGAGGAGTAACATTTAATATGTCTTGGCCCTAGTGATTCATCACAAAGACCCAGGAGAAGATAGCAAAAAGTTGATCTACATCAAACAATTTTCACTTTGTGAAGTCTTTCCGCAGCAGCTGAGTGCCTATGATAGAATCCATGAAAAAGCTAAAGAAATGCAGTCAATTTTTTATTTTTTAAAAGAAATTAGGAAGTGTACTTAGTTTTATTTTCAGCCTATGAATTTAGTTATGCTCTACCTTTCAAGAGTTTGTATATAGCATTCACGTATAGATTTTCTGTACTTTAAAAGTTGCTATAGTTGGGACCAAGACTTTCTGGTCATTAGTAGCAAATAGGCGTCCAGTCACCTCTTTCTTTATTATATATGTTTCTTTTATTGTGATGTGCTGGGATTTAAAAACTTCTGTTCTGGTCACACTATAAACAGGATTTGATTGATAAAGCTCGTGGAACCTTAGTTGGGAACAGGTCGTTGCTGCAAAGGTTGCAATTATCTACAGGTGTTCCTATCATCAGTGATTCTGATGATCCATCATATGCTAGCTTCAACCAGGTAATTTGATTTTGCAGCCTCATCCAATAAGGGTAATTGTTGTTCCTAAATATAAGATTGAGCATTTAGCCATTCCTTCTCCCACCCAACCTTCTTTATCTGTCATATTCCTAGGTTTTACTCCGCTTTTTGGTAGGGGAAAACTACAGAAACTTAATTGACTTCATCTTAATTGTGGCAAGGTTGTAAAAATTTCCAAATGTTGTCTAGAGAATCGGCACCATTTGCCAGCGCGCAACCAAAATCTTATCTGAAGGGCAAGATTCTTGATTTAGTTGCCACTTGCCATGGCATTTAAGTGCTTGCTGTGGTGGCTATTGTTGCCCTGCTACAGTTTTCCCCTCCCTTACCTCCTTTCTTGGTGTTTCGGATCTCTCTCTCTCTCTCTCTCCCAACTTCTCTTTATTCTTGATGTGCAGGTCATTGACGAATGGACAACTCAAGTCAGATCAAGAACAGGTGCAGTATCATAATGCCAATTTCATAACTTATATGCTCAACATTTTAACACTTGACTGGCGTAGCACTTATGTTTCCTATGTAAAGAAAACATGTAAATGAAAGAGAGGTACATATTTGGGGTAAATATGTGTCTGCTGGTCCTATTGTGACTGTCCGATAAACATTTTGACCATAATTGAAACTTATAAGGAGCACTTTCTTTTTCTTTTTCTCATCACGACTAGCCCATTGATGAACTTCCGTAATTAATGGTTTGTTAAATCTTTTTTTTAATAGGATTTTACTCCTGCTCTGCATTGTCAATTTCCGGGTAGCTGTGATCAGTCCCTTNTTGGAGGTGACAACTTACTATGAGTGCAGACTAATTGAAGAATAGTTCAAAATGAAAGCAAAGATCCATATATGCAATACAAACTAGTTAAATTAAAACTTAGTTTGTTGCTAGACTTACATTAGGTCCTGCTAGGAATAAGTGTGAGATTTAAAGAATCTTTAATTTTAGAGAACCCTAATTTGTCTTGAAACATCATTCTTCATTTCGCCAACGTTAATTAGTTTGGATTAAGGCATAGTGTCCTGGTTTTTCTTTATTTCCTTGAGTGGTAGAGCTAAGGGTGAGAAGGAGTGTGTCTATTTCCGAGAACCAGTTTGGGTTTATGCCGGGGCGTTCGACAACAGAAGCCATCCACCTTGTTAGGAGATTGATGGAGCAGTATAGGGAGAGAAGGGCGTACGATAAAGTTCCGAGGGAGGTTTTATGGAGATGTTTGGAGGCTAGAGGTGTACCTGTTGTCTACGTTAGGTTGATTAAGGACATATATGATGGAGTAAAGACTCGAGTGAGAACGGTGGGCGGGGACTCGGACCATTTCCCGGTTATGATGGGGTTGCATCAGGGGTCAACACTCGGCCCTTTTTTGTTTGCTTTGACGATGGACGTACTGACGCGCCACATCCAAGGGGAGGTGGCGTGGTACATGCTATTTGCAGATGATATTGTATTAATTGACGAGACGCGAGACGGTGTCAACGCGCAATTAGAGGTATGGAGGCAACATTGTTTTGGATAGCGTGCTACCACAAATAGCGACGAGGGCCCGCTTTACTAAGGCGAAAGGCGCGTGGCGACAAGTTGCATCAGGGGTCAACACTCAGCCCTTTTTTGTTTGCTCTGACAATGGACGTACTGACGCGCCACATCCAAGGAGAGGTGGCGTGGTGCATGCTATTTGCAGATGATATTGTATTGATTGACGAGACGCGAGACGGTGTCAACGCGCAAATAGAGGTATGGAGGCAGCAATGTTTTGGATAGCGTGCGGCGACAAATAGTGACGAGGGCCCGCTTCACTGAGGTGAGAGGCGCGCAGCGAAGTGCTCGCCTTTTTGATGTGAAACGACAATTTATACAAAAAAAACAAAATATTATATATATAACTAAAAACTCAATAACAATAATATATTAATAAATATATCAATTCAAAAATTTAAAACTCAATAGATAGTCATAGTAGATTCATATCACAATATGCAATTAATTCTACTCTATAACTGAAAAAGGAGGAAATTTCAGGTTTGAAGTTCTCTGCCTCTTCCCAACAATGAAAGAATTGAAAAAACAGAGCAAAAACAATAGCAAAAATAGGGTGTAGTACTGCTGCTCAATAAAAAACAGAGCAACAAAAAAAAAAGAGAAGACCAGAAAAGAAGAAAAACGAAAAAAACAGAGCATAAACAGACTCTCTGTTTTGTTTTTGCTGCATTGTTGCTCGACAAAAAACAGAGCAAAAAAAATAGAAAGAAGAAGAGAAGATCAGAAGAAGAAGAAAAATGAAAAAAAAAACAGAGCAACAGACTCTCTGTTACTGTTGCTCGACAAAAAACAGAGCAAATAAATAGAAAGAAGAAGAGAAGAAGGAAAAGGATGAAAGAAAGAAGAAGAAACCTGGGCTGGGTCGACTTGGATGAAGAAGAGGATGGCAGAAACTTGAAGCTTTCAGGTTGAAATCGTCTTGGGTGGACTTGGCTGCTCTGTTGTTTGAAGGTTGAAGAAGAAAGAAACGTGAAATCGCTGCAAGCCCTAATGTTTTAAGTCGCTGGTCTTTTTTTAAAATATCTGTGCCTTTTTCTTTTTTTTTTTTCAAAAAGCGACGCCACAGCTCGCCTCTCGCTACACAGGCAGAGGCGCTCGCCTTTTACAATCGCAACGCAACATAGCCAAAATAGTGCAGGCTGCTCGCCTCGCCTCACGCTATTTATAACACTGGGAGGCAGACCCTGGAATCTAAAGGTTTCAAGTTGAGCAGGACCAAGACAAAATACTTGGAGTGTAAGTTCAGTGGCGAGACTCAAGGAGGGGAAGGGGAGGTGAGGCTGGACTCGAAGGTCATCCCTAGGAGAGGAAGTTTTAAGTACCTTGGGTCTATTATTTAGGGGGATGGGGAGATTGATGAAGATGTCACACATCGTATTGGGGCGGGATGGATGAAAATGGAGATTCGCTTGCGGTGTTTTGTGTGACAAGAAGGTGCCACCGAAACTTAAGGGTAAGTTCTACAGAGCGGTGGTCAGACCAACGATGTTGTATGAGGCTGATTGTTGGCCAGTCAAGATCGCTCATGTCCAGAAGATGAAGGTAGTAAAGATGAGCATGTTGAGATGCATGTGTGGGCACACCAGGTTAGATATGATAAAAAATGAGGTTATTCGCGACAAGGTGGACGTGACCGCTATTGAAGACAAGATGCGGGAAACGCGACTTAGGTGGTTTGGTCATTTGAGGAGGAGGAGCACAGACGCTACAGTGAGGAGGTGTGAGAGGTTGACATTGGAGGGCCTACAGAGAGGTAGAGTTAGGCCAAAGAAGAGGCGGAGAGAGGTGATTAGGCAAGACATGACGCAATTTCAGCTGACCGAGAACATGACCTTTGATATGAAGGTATGGAGGTCGAGGATTAGGGTAGTAGAGTAAGTAATCTAGAGTGTTCATAACAGTAGTATTGGCACGCAGTCTCGCTTTCTATTGGGTAGGTTGTTATGACTAACCGTTGTTTTTTTTCATTGTTGATCACCTTACTATCTTGTTGTTTTTATTATGCTTTTATATGACTTTTTGGTACTGTCCCTTCTTGTCTATATTTTCATTAATGTGGTGCTTATACTTTCTTGAGCCGAGGGTCTATTGGAAACAATCTCTCTATTCTCACAAGGTAGGGGTAAAGTCTGCGTACACACTACTCTCCCCAGACCCCACCGTGTGGGATAATACTGGGTATGTTGTTGCTTCCCACCTCTGGAAGGGAAGTAGGTTGGCTTTGCAGATAGTAAAAACGCGCATGGTTTAAATTAATTTGCTCATTTGGATTTTCTTTTCACGTGATGTTACTCGATGATCAACAACAGAAAACTGGAACTCATGTAGACAATACCAATGATCATTATCATTCGTTTAAGTAGGCGTTTATTTGGTGGGATAATGTATTATTTACCGAGTAACTTCTCCATTATGCAGAGGATGAGAACCTTGAGTCAGGGGAAGATATCAATCAGATGCTGTTTTCAGCAATTGTCCATGGCAACTAAGAAGTCATTCAACCTCTGCATTAGAAAGATGCTTGATGTAAGAGGCCTAGTATATGAGCTTGTGGTACCTAGCAGTTTTCTGACATATCTTATGTCTTATTCCAAAAAACAAAAAGGAGATTTTGCAATGGTTTCTTGGAGTATTCTTGTATCTTTTATTTGTTTAAGTTTACATAGTTGCCCTTTCTTGCTATTTCAGAAAGGGATTAGTAACATCAGATAACTTTCCTTTGTTACAACAAGGTAAAAATATTATGCTCCAATACATGTTAGAGAATGGTTATGAAGCATGAGTGACTTGAGCAGGGTAACACTCCTTTCTGAATGGGTACCTCATTTTGAATTTGGCGTAGTTGGTTTTATTGCGAAATTAGGAAAAGTAGATAAAGTGCTGACCAACTATAGGTTGTTCGAATTTTCAGTTTAATCTCTATGTTTTGTAGTGGATTATTTGTCTAAATTACACGCACCTGCATCTAAGCTAGCAAATTATTTAGTGTTACTGCCTTCCCTTGAACTTCGTTAGCTAAGTTTCTGTACGTGAATGTTGTATCAGATTCAATAAAGGAAAGTGAAAAAAATAGGAGAATACATTGATTTACGTAATTTCTTTTGCACAATCTTTTCTTATAAAGTTATATTTTTCTTTGTTAATTAAAGAATTTTATTTACCAGAATTGTTTATGTACAAAAACGCCCTACACAGAGAAAGTGAGTCCTACACTTATACTGGAGATCCAGCCCCAGTACAAGTTATGGATCCTCACAAGTACATCTCATCTACATCCTCTGCTACCTCATTTCCTCATTTTAGCATTACCTAGGATAAAAGTTCAGTTTGGGTAGGTATACTGCTAGCTTAGCCCTTAGGTACCAAGTTAGCCTGATAGTACACTTCTTGTATGATCAATCTAATAAGAGTTGCCTCTGTTCTGCACTAGTTCTGAAAAACAAAGGGCAGCCCGGTGCACTAAGTTCGCGCTATGCGCGGGGTTTGGGGAATGGCCGGACCACAAGGGTCTATTGTACGCAGCCTTACCCTATATTTCTGCAAGAGGCTGTTTCCACGGCTCGAACCCGTGACCTCCTGGTCACATGGCAGCAACTTTATCAGTTATACCAAGGCTCCGCTTCAAAATTGATTCTGTAAGATCCTGTTATTTCTCTCCTGCCATAAGTGATAAACTGCAGCTGCTAGACATATTCTGTAGATTCTTGCTCCACTACTTTTCCCTTTGCTAAATTGCATAGCCGACTTCTTCACCTCCTCCTAGTTCATGTTTGCTCTTTGTATGCCTTGTAAGTGCAATAGATTCTGCCATATTTTCCCTGCTACAACACAGTCAAAGAATATATGTTGCATTGTTTCATTTGCTGCATTGCATAGAGAGCATAATGGGCTGGTATCAATGTCCTACCTTGCAATTCTATCCCTAGTTGAAAGCCTGACATCTGGAGCCAATCCACACTTTACAAGCTATACGTAAGTATTTCACAAAACTTCTCATAATTTAGACATATTTTTGTATTTTTATTTTTTTAAAATTATTTTTAGCCGGATCCTTGCACCAGTATCCGTACTAGGATCTGTATCCTCGAATCTTAGAATTTACATTTTGAAGGATTCGACCTCTAGATCCACACCCGTATCGGACACCTGCACCCATGTCCGAGCAACTTAGGTTATCTTGATGCATTCATGCTTTTGTGTTCTCAAGTGGTCATAGTATGTGGCATTTTTGTAGTATTGAATATCGAATTATCCTTTAGCATATATACAAGCTTATTCATAATCTTGTTTTGTAAGAGCGGAACTTTCTATATATTAGTAGTGTGTTCTATGTTTCTCTCCCTCTCCTTCATCTTCTTTTTGTGCATTGTGATATTATGTAGAGGGCCATCTTATATTCCAACAACTTTTTCATAATCAGAGTTGTTTCTTTTGCTATCGTGTTGTTGTTACTGCTTGATGCTATTGCTTCTTTCTCATCTTTCCTTGAGCCGAAGATTTATCGAGAACAACTTTTCTACCCTCACAAGGTAGGAGTAAGATTAGCGTACACTCTACCCTCCTCAAATCCCAATTTGTATTCTGTTTGCTGTCGTTGTTGTTGTTAAGAGTTTAGCGCTCATTGACCGAGATTACACTCACCTAGTTCAAGTTGGATATATATTATGAAAGGAGGTAAGTGTTGTGTTAGATTAATTGGGTAGTACATAGAGAAATTTGCCTTATTCTGTGAATTATTGCCTCCTCTTTTAATCCTCATCGATCATTATTTCCTCCTAAAATTCTAAAACTAGCATTTTGTTGAAATACATTTTGACTTTTCATCCTTTTGTCATTGTATAGTTATTACTATACCGTTCACCCATGGCTACTCATTTAACATCGGTAGTTCCATAATTTGAATATTATGGGGTTCGAGCTCGAAATTCTATCACAATCCATTTGATTTAATTAGTTTGTAATCTATTATGTATACTTATTAGTGAAATTTTTAACATTTATACTATTTTAAAGCACGAAGGCCCTTACCGAAATGTCGTTCACTTTTTTTACCCTTCAAAAATAGCTTTCATATTCAATAAAATTGTAATTCAAGTCATTTTCCTAATATTTAGGACTTTGAAATCACCTAAATTTTTGCCTATAGTATCTTTCCTTATTAAACTAGGTACGAAGTCCTACTATTTAAGAGTTTAAAATCTATCAATATTTTACCTTATGTATTAATTGAAAATAAATTCATATACATTTAGGATGCTTAACGTGATTAGCAATTAATTTATATGAGATCATCACGAAGCACCATAGAGAAGATATAAAATTCATTCAAGACACTAAGCACGTAAAATTGTCTCAACAATAAATAATTAATTACGCATTTTAAAGACTTTTATTTTTATCATACAAAGTAAATAGTTCACGTACAAGTAAAGTCATATGTAATCACATAAAATCGCACAAGCATAAATGTGTGTGTATATATATATATATATATATATTGCTTTGTTGATCAATGAATGAAGAAAGATATCATCGTTGGTGTCCTAATTTTAATAAAAATATATATTCAACTAATAGATGGAATTTATTCTTAACGAATTGTCATCATCTTTTTAATTATTTCAACAAATAATAATTTCTGATACTTCTATATCTTTAATTTTTTGTTGTAAAATATTAAGCCAACATTAGTAAATTTTAGATGTTATCACTTATCAAATTTTTTATGAGCTATAAGCCAACATCTTTATTCCCAAAAGACCAAAAGATTTAATTTTTAAATTTATTTTATTTGAAAAATCTTATAATTTGTTTGCTTACGTCATAAATATATCAATAATTTTCATCAAATATTCTCCCAGAAGTCCTCATAAATCACAATTATGTATCCGAGGACTTCTATGGCCAAGATTTCTTCGCAATCAACATTCGTCTTTTTAGTAGCTTATACTTTTTTTAACTTTTATTTTACAATCCAATCACATTATTTTATAATATTTTATATATTTTAAAATAGTATATTCATTAATATCGGGTACACGCAACGCGTACCTATAGTATCTTTCCTTACGAAGTCCTACTATTTAAGAGTTTAATATCTATCAATATTTTACCTTATGTACTAATTGAACTAAATCCATATATGTAACATTTAGGATGCAAATAATTTATATGAGATCATCACGAAGCACCATAGAGAAGATATAAAATTCATTCAAGACACTAAGCGCGTAAAATTGTCTCAACAATAAATAAATAATTAACATTTTAAATACTTTTATTTTTATCATACAAAATAAATAGTTCATGTACAATTAAAGTCATATGAAATCACATAAAACTACACAAACATATATATAACCACGAATGTCCTTAGCGAAATATCGTTCGCCGTTTTTTTAAAACCTTTTTTTACCCTTTTAATATAGAGTTCATACTGGACAAAATAATTATTTGATTATTTATTTTTAATATTTATGCCTTTTAAATTAATTTAATTTTGACTATTAAATCTTTTCTTATTTAAGTTAGGTAAAAACTCCTAATACATAGGAATCTAATATCTAGTAAGATTTTACTTATATATAAATATAAATTCTTTTCATATTTGAATTATTTTTTTTGTAAGAATTATAACTTAAGTTTTTTGAATCTTCCAAAACAATAGTCATTAAATGACCCTAGAAGTGTTTTGCCATAAAATAACAATTGTTATCCAAGTGAGAATAATATTTTGGACGAAAAACAAAAATGTGTGTATGTCAAAGAAATAAAAATATATACTATAGTAATTATTCTATTTACTTAAACGACGTAGTAGGTGGCTTTAAGCATTTGAAAAATGTTATGGATTTTTAAAAATAATTGCAACTCCATTATTTTGGTTATACCTTTTTAATTAAACAAGAAAATAATAAACTCTAGCCAATTTTTTTAATAGATTTGATCCGGAAATAAAAATATATAATTACAATAAATAGTCATTTGCATCTAAAGAAAAATAATAAATAATACACAATTACTACTTTATTATTTTAGCTAAAACTATTTTATTTACGGTAAATTCCAGCTAAGTTCTTACAGATTCAGGCCCCAAAAAATAAAATATATAATTGGATCAAATAGCCATTGTATTTGAAAAAAAGAATATTAAAAATACAAAGTTAGATAAAGTATGCATTGCATATTAAGATGAAGCAAGAAGAAATGCACAATTATATTCTAATAAATAAACAATTATATTAATGATTAAAAATATAACATCTGAAAGTTGATTTTAAATTTTCTTCACTTTCACGTGCCTAAAGTAGAGTGTATATATCCACGCACTTTACCACATCAATGTCCATGAGTAACAACTGTCAATTAGCCAACTTCGAGGTAACTAAGGCAATAATTTGTTTAGGGGTGTAACTAATTTCGTGCAAAGTATAGGAATTTTTTCAACATAAGCTTCTTATTTTTCGATAAAGAAAATTCCTCCAAAACGAAGAAAGAGTAGATTAATCAAAATGTAGTAGTTGAATAATATCTTTTGCAATAGTAATTTAGTCTTTTCTAATATGTTGGAAATAATTCATATGGCATTTCTTATTGATCATAGAAATATAACAATTGTATATTTGTCCTGAGAGTTTCTTTTTTAGTTCAAAGTTAGCTAATTAGGATCAATAACTTTTAGAAACTTACACTTTTGTTAATTTTAATTTTATAACTCTAGCACAAGTTTTAATAGATTATTTATAAAAAGAATTAAAATTTTTATTCATTGAAATATGGTACACGCGCAACACGCGTATC